TATATATATATATATATATATATATATATATATATATATATATATATTAATATATGAAAAATATATCAAAAAATGCATGTGGGTACTCAAATGAAAGTTCGTGATTAGTGTAACATCGGTATGAGCTTATATTTTTAAAATATATAATATATATATGTATATATGAAAAATATATCAAAAATGGGATAAGCTTATATCTTTATAAATGTCAATAATGTTAAGAAAGTACAGTACACTTCAACAAAAGTCATTATATAGTTAAGAAAAATTTTATTTATTATAGTTCGCAATTTTCAGCAGTCACATAGTGACTGTAGATTGCTAGTATTTTTATAATTAATTTTTGGCAGTCTTTAAAGCTCAAAAAAAGCTGTTTCAAATTGTAATGATTAATGACATACTACTATTGTATATGTAAGAAATAATAACAATCTAAATGCTGGAGAGACTTGTGTATTAAGTGGGTCAATTGCTAACGATTCTCAGTATTAAAATCAATTACAATATACGCCAAGCCGTATAATTAACTTAATTTCTAAATTAAATCTATATTCCTATATTTATAAGAAAATATTCAGGATGTTTTTTTTTCAAGTTTAGTTAATAGGATAAAGTACTTTAAAAATCCGGTAAACTGTTGCATAAATATAGTATGAAAAAAATGTATGCTAATATCAAAAAAGGTAATACGAAAAAAATTTTTTTTTATAGTAAATTTTAAATGCTTTATACATAAAATTTATGAAATAATAGTTAAGTATTAAATTAAGATTGTTTTGATTTTGTTTACTTATCAAATTAATTCATAATTATGATTATATGATCAAAATGGGTTTGAATTTCAGAATGATTGGAATGTAGTTGTACATTGGATGAAATGGAATTATCTGTACAAATGGTAAATTGACTTGAGATCATGGAATTTCATCCTATTACATAACTTTGTATAATTAGTTAGTTTTCATCAATAATAATGAAATTTATGATACATTATTTTGAATATTAAAATAACGATATTTTACAAAATTTTAGATGGTAAAAAAAAATTTCTTTAATAAATTTAATTATACTTTAAACTTAAGAGTGAATATTGATGCAAGTAATAATTGATAAATGTAATAATATAATATATGGAATGATTTTACGAGAGTAGCATACTCATGTACAACTAATTTAAGCGGTTTAGTGTGTGAGTAGTTGGTAAACCTCAGCAAATTTCTTGCTTCAACGTCATGAAGAGAAATATAATAGGGTAGTAAGTGATTATTATAACTTTCTTGTTGTAACCGCTGTCAGGTTTATTTTTATCATTTATCATTAATTACTGGATATTTACAAAAGAAAAAAAAAACTAATTTTTATAACATTATTTTAGTAAAAAATACATTGTATTTAATGATAATAAAAATCTTTTATTATATATCATGATGTATAAATGTAGTACAGGAGAAAGAGAGCTGTAAATGATGCTGCTATTTAAAAGAGAGGATATAGTATAGAGGCATCTCATAATAATGATAAAGAAGACTGATGAAAGAGTTGAAAGTCATGCAAACGTCAAAGGGGGATTCAATGTTCTACTTGACACGTAATATTCTATTGAGCATAAAGACTACATTGAACATAAAAAAAAAGAAAAATAATAATAAATTATTTCAAGTTTTTAAATTATATACTAAATAATAAAAGTTTTTGACAACTTTATTAAGAGTTTGACAAATAACAGTAGAATCAATAACAAAGTATATGTGAAATAGTTGCCAAATCACTAAATCTATCTATTTATCTATAACACGTAAATCTAACTCCTTTCTTTGTTTGCCACGTTTTTTTTTGTCTGTTATATGTATACACTTATACTTATGAGGTAGTAACAGCAATGCCCGCATTGTGCCAAGTTTGTAACCTATTTTATCGGAGCCGGAGCTACTGCAGTTTCAAAGACGAATTTTGGAAGGAGTATGGCGCCAGCTTATCCGCAGATTTAGTCGGAACCACTTTGCAATCGATCGGCAATATAACGTATTTTCAAAGCTTGGTCATATCGTTTAGTTTAAACTTCCAACAGTTTCATATCTAAGCTAAACTTGTTTCAACGTTTCATCCTACTGAATTAATCAGAGTAATGATTAATGTATTTTTTTATTGTATCAAACAGTTTTTTATTTTTTTTGCACAACTCATGATGCGAAGCGTCAAAGAGTGCTTTATGATCGAAAAATTTTTTTCGCCTCATTTCAGCAACTATTTTTATTATTATAGTCGTGTTAGTTCACGGAATCAAAATATTTTGTATACTATTGTTAAGATAATTTAATGGAGATTAATTTAAGACTTTTCAAAAATTGATTTACTGCAATAGAAATGGAAAAACCATCAAAATAGGTCAAAAAATTTGCTTGTCCGTCATGTATGAAACTCCGGAAACAATGTAACTTGCGAAAAAATCAATTATTTGAGTTAAATTTTTTTTAAAAAAATTTTAATTGACAATTGTAGGTCACCGAATGCGAATGGCTAATTAATTCAGTGTCGTTTAGTTACAATTAATAAAAAACGAAAACTACTAGACTGTATATCTATATATATCCATGAAAAATTAACATGGATGGTGATATATCTATATCTATAGATATTATGTACATTTATTCCACCAGAGGCGCTTGTGCAGTACCTTCCTAGTACACCTGTTTTTTCGGCAACTAATTTTGAACGACTTATGTTTTTTTTTTTTTTTTAATATTTCATAATTAAATGAGCATTATGAGTCGTGCAATTTTGGATTTTCCAAATTTTTCATTATTAAATGAACATTATGAGTCGTGCACTTTTGGGTTTTCCAAACTTTTTTTTTTTAATGCAAATTTATTGAAGTAAAAAATCCCTGAGGCCGATTTATGATCAAATAGATGAATCAATCTATTTCAAAAAAAATAAAAAAAAAAATTTATTGACCAAAAATGTGATGGGATTTTGACCCAAGGCGTATGTAGCAATCGTTTTGAAGTACTATCAGGTATATTTGGTATCGGTTTCACCTTTTTCGCATCTATCTATTGCAATTCTATATTTCTCAACTGTGTTTTATATACAGATAAAAATAAAAAATAAATGACAATCTTCAAGCTATTCTCTACTACAGATATATAGATATATACGTATATTTTATGGAATATGGACAGAGGCAGATGTTGCTAGTATATATACGAGCTCCATTGGTCAGATGGAACAAAGCTCAGTTGCATTCAACTGAGTCAAGAATAAAAAATAAAAATACCTTTAAAGATTTCTATGGTTCACGTATGACAGACGGAATATATATCGAAACTTGGTATTAAAAATAAAAATTTTTTTTTTTAATTAAGTAACAAGTAACATTATTATTTTTCTCCAACACTTTAAAACCCCTCTAAGCTCCCGTATATCACTTCACCACATACTTTCATTTGAACCCAGTTAATAAAAACTGTTTTTTATTACTTGTAATTGAATCTATTTTTTATTGTTTAAAATTATTAATGTATGTTTATATTAAGAGTAAAGTTACTAATAGTACAATCAATATTGTAGTACTATCTCTACTCTCTGATCTCTACTCTTTGCTGTTTCGTCCACCGTCGACGAAATTATCAGCCTAATCGGATCTACGCAGCTTGGGTTATAACCCCTATAATGCCAATGACGCGATTTACTAAATTAATCGTTTGTAGAGACCGTAGCAACGGATCGTTCATCATGATCATTGTGTAAAGCAACAGACAGTAGTTTTACAACTTATTGCGGAAAGGCTATTAATCATCTAAAATTAATATTCCCATTTTAATTACCAAATAATATTTAAGTATTTTATGTATTTTTATTTTATTTTAAGAATTAAAAATATGTGTTCTAGTTTTAAGCTTATTAACTAGCAACCTTGCAGTCACTAGATGACTGCCGTGACTTGTGAACTATAAATAAATAAAATTTTGCTTTATTAAATAATGACTTTTGTTGAAGTGTACTATATTTTCTTAACTATTGACGTTTTTAACGATATAAGCTCATCCCGATGCTACACTCATCAAGAGCTTTCATTTGAGTACCCACATGCATTTTGATATATTTTTCATATATATAAAGTATATAAATATATGACAAATTGATGTGGGTACTCAAATGAAAGGTCTCCATGAGTGTAATGTCGGGGTGAGCTTATATCTTTAAATATGTCAATAGTTCACAAGATACAAGGTCATTTCTTAATTATTGATATTTTTAAAGATATAAGCTCATCCCGATGTTACATTCATAAAGAGCTTTCATTTGAGTACCCACATCAAGTTTTCATATATT